TTTGGGTCCCACGCCATACAAGGATATCCAACTGGGCAGCAGTTTGGAGGGTAAGTGAGCAGATGGACTTAATGGGCCTAAAGCCCAATTCGAACTAGCTTAATGGGATTAATTAAAAGGGGGTGGTTCTGGAATTTAGATCAGCAGATAGGATAAGAGATTGTCCCTATCCACTCAGAGAGTCCAGATCCAAATAAAGATTTGGATAAAAAAACTCCTAATTAGATTAGGATGGCTGATCTTTATCTGCAGATAAGATAAGGGATTATTCTTATCTCTTTAAAGAGAGTCTGGATCCAAATACAAGATTTGGATTAGGAAACTCCTAATGGGATTAGGAGATGCTCTCTTTAAAGGTAATAAATAGAGGAGCAGGGAGAACCTCCAATACACGATTCTCTGTTCAAAGATTTCAAAGAGAGAAGAACCTACAGTTCGACTGCTCCTGTCTTCTGCTCCTTCCTACTCTTGCCACCATACCAGTTCGATCTCCACCTATGGGAGAGATCAAGAAGTGTTCTTGATATTACCTTTTGGCAGAAAAGGTAATCAGAAGTCGTGCTCACTAGCCCTCCATCAGATTCTTGTTGAAAAATTTGGTTCTTATTGAAGAACCATCCTGCTGATTCTGATTCATCCTGCACCGTGTCATCTTCGGTGGAAGCAGTCTTTGGATCTTTCCTTGGGCGTGAATACCTTCATTGGAGGCTATTAGTACCTCGTATCAGGTATATCCCTCCACTTCCTTTTGGTTTCTAATCTGATCTGATTTAGGTTCAGGATTGATCATTGAAAATGCAGTTTTCTAAAATAGGGAATGTGATTCTCACATGAGAGAGAAAAATTTTTTAAATTTCGCCCAACCTTCCTGCAGGGTTCGGCCATCCATATGATGGATCTCTCATCCCTTCACCATATTAACATGTTATTATTACTGGCAAATGAGTAGTGCAAATTTTGCACGATGATGATGATGATAAAAATAGTTTTCAACAATTTTAAAATAATTATTATTTTAACGCTTATTTGTTTAATAAGATGGTTATTTGGAAGTATACATTAATAGCACCCTACAACTTGTTTCCCTTGACTTCCACATTGAAATGTTATTATTAATAGTAAGTGAGAAGTGCAAATTTTAGATGATGACTATAACAATAACAATAACCATAACCATAACCATAACCATAACAACAACAACAACAACAACAACAACAACAATAATAATAATAATAATAATAATAAATGTTTTATATTTTTGCATAACCATAACCACAACAACAACAACAACAATAACAACAACAACAACAACAACAATAATAATAATAATAATAAATGTTTTATATTTTTGCATACAAATATAATTATTATTTAACACTTATTTTTTTAATAAGTAATGATGATGACGATGATAGTGATAATAATAATAATGTAATAGTTTAAACAATTTTTAATATTTTTCATACAAAAAAATAATTATTATTTATCTCTTATTTTTTTAATATGATGCTTAATTCAAAGTACACATTAATAGCACCCTACAACTTGTTTCCCTAGACATCCAAATTTGCATGTTATTGTTACTAGTAAGCAAGAAGTGCAAAATTTAGATGATAATGCTAACAATAATACTTTTCAACAATTTTTGAAAAGTGTAAATTTTAGATGATAATATTAACAATAGTACTTTTCAAAAATTTTAAACAATATTTTTATATTTTTGTGTACAAATAATTATTATTTATCACAATTATGTTTAATATGATGGTT